GAAATTCTATCTTCACTTTCATTAAGGCGGTTTTTACAACTTTCAGTGGAGTTTTTTATTTCCTGTATATCTCTGTGCATCTGCATTATGTATTCTGTTTGTTTCTTATATTGCTCGTCTAGGGATTCTATCTTTTTGTTTAGTTCCTCCAATTTTTTATCTGTGTTTTCTTTAGATATATTTAGAATCTCTTTCATTTCTTTTATCATTTCTTCTTTTATCTGGGAAATTATTTCGAGTTTGAATTTCTTTAAAGCTTCCTGGAGTTGCTTGTCAACTTCAGTAGCTATTGTGTCTGATATATGAGGTGGATGGGATATATTTTCTTCTAAATACATTCCTCCTAGGGTTTCCTGAGATGGGCTGGAGGTTTGAGGTTGTAATTTGGTCTTTCGTTTTGTCATTTTCCTATATTTCTGTGTTTCAAGTGTTATTTGAAAGCTTCCTCAGGATCTGTTGAAAATCCCCTTCTATGTTTGCAGCTACTGAGACTCTGGCACCGTGCTACCCCAAGCCATTGGGCCTGCAGAACCAATGGCCCTCCTCTGCTTGTTCAGAACTCCGCAGTTCCAGACAAGCTGGGCCTCAGGGTCACTGTGCGCCCACCTGCCCCTTGGAAGCTCCACAGCTCTTCAGTCGCAGCCGGGTTAGGATACTCACCACAGGCCGCAGTGCCTCAGGAGCCTGTGATCCCTCCCTGCTTGCAGAGATATCCACAGTCCTCCAGACAAAGGAAGGGGCTTCTGCAGGCACTCCAGATCCGCCCAGCTCCTCCTCTGCACATGGATGGCTAGGCGCGGCTGGGCTTGGGGGATAGTGTAGGCCCGCCCACCCGTCGGGAGCTTAGCAAACCTCCAAGTGTAGCCAGGATGGGGAGGCGGATGTAGTGTCCTCTAACCCACTGCTCCACTTCACTGCACCCAGAAGCCTGGGGGGTCCGGAACAGTCTGAGATTTGGGCAGAGTGTGCTGAGCACTTACCACAGGCAGAGGTGCCTCAGGAACCTGAGATCCCTCCCTGCTTGCAGAGATATGCAGTCCTCCAACAAAGGAAGGGGCTTCTGCAGGCACTCCAGATCTGCCCAGCTCCTCCTCTGCACAGGGATGGCTAGGCGCAGCTGGGCTCGGGGGATAGTGTAGGCCCGCCCACCCGTCGGGAGCTCAGCAGACCTCCAAGTGTAGCCGGGATGGGGAGGCTGATGTAGTGGTCTCTAACCCGCTGCTCCACTTCACTGCACCCAGAAGCCACAGGCCGAGGTGCCTCAGGAACCTGAGATCCCTCCCTGCTTGCAGAGATATTCAGTCCTCCAACAAAGGAAGGGGCTTCTGCAAGCACTCCAGATCCGCCCAGCTCCTCCTCTGCACCGCCCATTTTAAGAATGAGAAAATTGAGGTGGAAGAAAAATAATTTGACTGTTGATGCCTGATCCATAGACTTGTAATTCAGAGAGAATTAATGTCTCTATTCCTGGTTTACTGTTAATCATTGTAATATGCTGTTTTCTTGTCACTTCAAGTGTATCAGTGAAAATGGCATTTGCAACTGTAAGAACCACCTTAGAAGTAATAACCTATGAAGTTTTATTGACATAATGTATTCTTTTTTTGTTCTTGATTGAACTGAATTTTTGTTTTTAACTCTTGTGCAGTGTTTTATAGTATTTGAATTAATGGCAGTGTTTTGTGATAGCTAATATGTTAATCATCTTATTAAATTTAACAATGGAAGCTGGGAAGATGGCTGATCAATAAGCAGCAAAGTAAAATGCCTCTCTGAGAGAAACAGCTCAGATGCTGGGATATAGCATCCTGGAGAAGACCAGATGGAAGGAGATGGATCCTCTTGACTCAGGAAAGAACTAAAGTGAAAAAAAAAAGAAAGAAAATAAAAGAAAAACTTGGATGGAAGGCTGTAGGCAGATACGCTGTCACCGGAGCTGGTCCCACTGTTTGCTAAACACCACTGGAATCTGAAGACACACGGTCATGGTGAATTGCAGCAAGGCCAAGGGCCTTGGTGGGAGGATGCGGTCACAGAGGGGAGTGGCAGACTGGAGAATTGAATGGGCTTGTGGCGAGTGTGGGGAATTCAGTCCTCCCACCAGAGTGGGCAATTGACTGGACAACATTTTGGAGTCAGGCAGGATAAGCTCAGAACCAGAACTGCAGTGGCTTCATTCAGTCACTCTTAGTGCAGAGCAGTCTGGTAAGAATTGCTTGGACTTAGTCCTGCCCTTGTATGCAATCCAATAGCCAAGGATGAGGTTTCCCTGAAGTTATTACTAACCAGCCCCATCCATGTGGCACACAGTAATGTGGTGAAGACTCCAGTGGTTAACCAAGTCAGAAGGGAGGGGCCAGCCTGCTCAACCCCTGCTTGTCCCTGGGTGGTCACCAGCAGACTAGGGAGAGCAGCAGTCCCAGCCAGAATGCTTCAGAGTAATTGTAACCAATACAGGAAGTGCTGGGGACTCCCACTATCCACTTCTCTGGAAAAAACAGAAACATGACAAGAGGAAGAAACAAAAGGAAGTCTCTAGCCTCCAACCCAAGCACTACTTGCCAAGGAGAGGTAAACACAGAAGAGATCAGGGGTTGCACACCTGCAGTTTCTGAAGAAATAGCATTGGACATAAAGAAATATCTTTGTGACACTATAAAAGAATTTAAGACAGAAATACTAATACAAGTAAAGGGAGATATAAAAAGTAATAAAAGAAATGCTAAGTACCTCTCAAGAAGACACAGATGGAAGAACAGAGCAGAGAAAAAGGAGGGAAACCTTTGATGAAGAATAAAAAAGATCTAGAATACATGAAACAGATTCAAAGAGATCACTAGGAAATTAAAAACTCCATTGAAAGCTGGCAAAACTGCTTGAAAGAACTAAAGATAGACTATCAAAACTTGAAGACAAGTTTGCAACTTGTAATCACAAAAGGAAGGATCTCTTAAAAAATATCAAGGAACCAGGAAGTAATAATACAAAGGCTAGAAGATGACAAGAGGTTCTATAACTTACGAATAAGAAATGTGAGTGAAGAAGCAGGAGTAAACACAAGTGAAATATAGAGGATATTTACAGAAATAATTAAAGAAAACTTCCCAAGCATAAGAAAAGGAAATGATATTCAGCTATATGAGGCATGCAGAACTCCAGCCAGCAATAACCAAAATAGATCTACACCCAGACATATAATAATTAAGATCCCAGAAATTCAACATAAGAATCGAACATTAAAAGCTATCAGAGAAAAGAAACAGATCACCTGGAAGGAAAACCCATCAGAATCACAATAGTCTTCTTGATACAAACCATCAAATCAAGAAGAGCTTGGAGTGAAGTATTTCAAGCCCTGAAAGAAAATACCCTCCAACCTAGATTGATGTGCTCTACAAAACTATCTCTCAAAATTAATGGAGAAGCAAGATGCTTTCATGACAATGAGGAACTGGGGGAATTCATAGACCAATTCAACCCTACCAAAAATACTGAAGAACGTTCTAGAGAGAGAGAAAAAAAGACTATGGCTTCAGGAACAATGGCAGAGGGGGCTCACTGAATGGGCAGACATTGGAATGAAGGGGAAAAATAGACAAACAATGCCAGAAAAATAGCATGGCAGAGATAAGGCAGAGAAGGTTGGCCATAATTGCTAACATGGATGGCCTCGAAACACTAATAAAAAGAAACACAGCAGAGTGGATCAGGAGATAGTGTCCATCAAGATGCTCTATATAAGAAATATAATTAACCTGAAAGAAAGTTTTCGGACTGAAAGTCAAAGGTGAGAAAATAATGCTATGTATAATCCCTATGTGATAGGGAACCATAGAAAATGAAGATAGCTCGCCCTTCAGCTGCAGATTGTTTGGAAAAACATAACACTTTTATACAATGACGAGCTACTCAGCCATAAGGAAGGAAAACCTTGAGGCTCTTGTAGGTAAATGGATACAACTTGAGATCAAGCTTAGGGGTGAAAGGTTCAGAACCATTTAGATGAATAGCGGACTGCCTCGCTAATCTAAAAACTGAAGGAGTTAGTGGGATGCAAAGTATACAATGCATCCCGTGAAAGTGAAAGGGGAAGAATTGTCTAAAAAGGGAAGGCAGTGGTCATTGTTAATCTTGTATCATGATTTGAAACCCATGTTGTTTTTCATCATTGTGTTTAGTTTGGTTATATTCTGTTCCAGTTTGTCTACTTGTACTATATTTGATGGCATGGACAGTTATTCCAAAGATAGCAGGATATACCACAATAACCATTTAAATTTCCTGTTAACTTAATCTGAAGCCCTGTATTGCTTTCACTGTCTTGTTTTGACTGATTTTATTTGGATCTGTTTTGTTTGATCACTGTCTTGTCTTGACTGATTTTATTTGAATCTGCTACATTTGACAGTATCAAGTCTGAGAGTATAGGCAACTACTCTAAAGACAATAAGATTCACTAGGATACCCATTCTGGTTTGACTATTACCTTCTTGTGAAGTCCTATAATGTCTCCCATGTTTTTTTTATATTGATTTTGTTCTGTACTGCTATGTTAAATTTTATTGTGCCCGATGATATGGGCAATTCTATTGAACATAACAAGAGACATCATGGTAACCATTGCAGATCACCTTGCATTTTAGTTTTAAGTTATGTACTGTATCCATCCTTTTGTTTTGACTGACCACATTTTGTTTTTTCTCATTTGGTTTTATTCTCTTCAAAATAAAAACAAAAAACAAGTTAACAGGGAATTAAAAAATTTTAATGTTCCTGTAGAAATGAGTAATTTAATTTAAAAAGGTCATGGAATTGAAAGAAGATAAAAATATTTTTATGTGCCTTTTTCTGTACTTCTCACTTACTGCATGTTATTGTTTAGTTTATACTTCTATTATGTATTTTTAATTTACTGATTAATTGGCAAGTTTTGCTATATTAAGTAATGCACCTCAATGATTTCTAAATTGGCATCATTTGTTTCCCTTTCTTTCTTCAAGGATATAGCTTTGATGGGAAAAACATATGTCAAAACACATGATGTGCAAGCAGAAACACTGACGATGGAAGAAGAGCGTGTCTCACAGATGAATATCGAGGAACCTTATATGGTAAAGTGTTTAATAAAAACCTCCTTGCCTATATTGAAGTAGTAGTCTGTTTTCTATTGCTTGAATGTTTATATAGAGCTTAAGTTTTTCCCTCTAATTTATTTTAGAGGTGTGGTTAACTGTAAGCACACCTAATCTAAAACAAAGTTGGGGGATGCTGGCTATTTTGGTTCACTCTGGCTATCACAGACCTGAGCTAAGGTCCAAAGTTTTTCAGAAGGAAGAGATTTTAACAGATTTGCTAGTTGAGAGACCTTTATATCTAGTCAGTCATTCAAGAGTTAATTAAAAATTGTTAGCTTCTGTGAAAGCCACACTTCACTCTGCATTTAGTTAGAAGTGTTGTTAGAAGAACTGAAGAAACAAGGGGACGTTTTTTATTGAGAAACATAAACAACTGGTGACAGAAGTTTATGCAGAAACAAACCGTCCCTTTTGTCCATAATTGGAAAAAGTAATTGTAGAGTTTGAGGCAATCTGGACAATATTTTCTGTGAATGGGAAGTATTTCCCTGTGTATAAAAATTCACATTTGCATAAAAACATGGCATCGTGATGAGTTCCATTACATAGGAAGAATAAAATTGTTATCATTACATACAGAATTTGTTCCTTTAGAAAACAAGATTCTATCTACATAAGTACTGAAATCCTTCTTTACTTTTATGATAACATACCATGTTCAGAAAGTGAACATTATAATGTCCATCCTATAATGTTATTGCCACAAATGTTAGAACCATGAGTTTGAGATGCTTTGTATTCTCATTGCCTGAGTTTCTTCACCTCATATTGGCTATGTTCTGTGGATAAGTATGTTGTGAAGCCTTGCCACTCATACTGTGGTCTGAAGACTGAGCTCTAACATACCTGCTTCTGGATGGCAGTATCTACAGGTAGATAGCAAAACCTCTGACCACTAATCCTTTAGTAGTTACAAAGGGAAAGATCAATTAGTAAGTAGTACAATAAAAATGACTCAGTACCTTTCACTGCATGTATGTGATGAGCAAGGAAACTCTGAAAAAGGCCAACTATTAGGAACCTAGCTTAGACATCATCTTGACTATTTAAAATTAAGATTTAAACATAAATATCAATTTCTGTGGAACAACCCACTTAGCGTTGACATCTTTAAGCAGTTGCTGAACCTTTCCTGGTTACTGTCTTTTTGAGGAAGCTCACCTCCTCTTGAGATGGAAAATATTTCTTTTTTTTTTTTTTTTTTTTTTTTTGTCTTTTTCGTTTTTATCGGTACCAGGGATCGAACTCACGACTGCCTGCTTGCAAGGCAGGTGCTTATGCCGCTGAGCTAAATCCCCAGCCCCGGAAAATATTTCTTAACTTGGTATCTGATCATAGTAGAAAGTCTCCTCTGTAGTATCTTTCATTCTAGATACATTTTTTTTTGGTACCTACTCTATGCCCAATAGCAGAACTTCAAATATTTGTCCAACGTGTAGATGTTTCCCTGGTAGATCCTGTGCTGTGATTTGTCTAAACAGCCCTGGTCAGTGTGTTTCTATCCCAGAAGGCCTTGTGCTTTCTGTAACTCACTTTCCTTGGAACACAGAAGCCTCAGTTCTGAGCATCACTGTGCCACCAGGTCAGAGCTTTCTTACTTCTTTGATGCAACTTTTTAAAAAAGAGGAATGCTAATGGAATAGATTTTAAACAAGTGTTCACTATTTTGAATATGAGTTTTTGAGCCATCATTGTGAGTATTTTCCTATTATACTTACAAAAAAAAGCAATACATTTATTTCTTTTCCCACTGGGTTCCAAAGAGATTGTTGATGCAAATATATCACAAAAGCAGTTCTTGCTTTGATGGAACTCACTTAGGTACATACAAATATATGTAGAGAAAGCAGTATACTACTATTTAATGAATATTCTAATAGAGATTAATTGCATAGTTGAAAAAAATCAGAAATAATTTCCTTTCATTTATATATTCATAAATAATTGCAGATCTACAGCATACCAAATGTGCCCCCCCACTCCATCTTCTTTCTTCTCCTCTTTTTCTTTCTCCTTTTTCCTCCCTGTCTTTCTGTGCTGCTGAGAATCAAGCCCAAGGCTTCATTCATGCTAGGCAAGTATGCTACCACTAAATTTCACCCCCTAAAGCACAATTTCCTTTTTAAAGAGTTCTCAAATTTTAAACTTTGAAAGTGCTCAAATGTTTTAGTCTTGAGATGACTGTTTACTCTGAAAAATTAAGGATCCAAAAGAATTTTTGTTAATGTGAATTACGTTGACTGATATTTACCTATTAGAAACTGGTAAAACTGAATATGTTTATTCACTCATTTAAAATAACAATAGTAAGCCTATGACATAAGAAGAGTATGATAGCCTTAAATTTTACGTAAGTCTAATGTCTGGTTTAACAGAGAGTCTATTCAATCTGTTGCAGTATGCCCTTTTGATTACTAAGTATAATAATATACTTTGGCTATTAAGTCTGTTAAGTAAATGTGGTCTGATGCAGAATGGAAAGAGAACCATATTTAAATATTTTAAAAATGTAATTATGGATACTCCTTTTTTTAATGCACCAAAATTTTACAACTGGTACTTTCTTAAGGATTAATTGCGACATGGAATGAGAAACCAGATAATGGGCTTATTACATATTATCATATTAAATCCATTGATTTGTCTATTGCTGTTTTAGCTAGTCGTTTCCATGAATGATTTAATAACCTGATGTATATTAGTCATTGGAAAAGTACTGCCTCACCACTTTGTGCACCAGTGCTTTCTATCATCTGTGCAAATTTGAGCACCGGGGAAAAAGTTAAATAACATCTTAGTATTATTAGGAAAGTGTTTGTGACATTGCAAGCCACTGAAAGGCTCTCAACGACTATGAGGAGTTTGTGGACCTCATTTTGTGAATTACTTCTGTGGAAGGGCAAACAGGTAGAAGGCACAGTTTAGAGTCAGTTTGTGCTAAAACAAGACTTTGCTACTTATTGAAAGTATGACCGTGGACAAGCTATGTAGCTTATCTTAGCCTCCATGGGGCTACGAGCAGTTTCTACTTCAGGGATCTGTGCTCAGTATTGAAATTAGATGAGGTCTCTTGGCAATTAGTATTACAATGACGAGTAGGCAATGGTAATATGGAGTGATAATACTGACGTAGAGACAGGGCTCACAAAAGCTGATCGTGAAAGGCTTTGTGGAGAAGGTGAGACCGGGCGGCATTCTGAAGATAGGAAACTGCAGCTGGAGGGATGCTATTTTTCTTAAGCTTTTCTTTGTCTGTTTTCTATTTTGGTAGGTGGTATGTGTGACTGTGGAGAGGAGGCTAGGAGCAGAGAATGTTAGAAGGAAGGAAATGAAGGCAGTGCTCAAAGCTATGGACCATAAAATGAATGAGTTTGTCTTAGGACGATAGTGTAGCAACAAAGTCTGTAACCTGTATTACCTTATATCTACTTGACATTTTCTGAAGAAGGTTTTATTAGCCTCCTTTGACTTATGAGGAAAGTGAGGCTAAAATAGTTGGAGTAACTTGCACATTCAGGACTTGAATTCAGTCCCATCTGGTTAAAAAGTCTCTTATTCTTTCCATAACACCAACCAGTAGCTTAATAAAACAAACAAACCCCCCAAAACCGAGCTCAAGAATGAACTTACACTTCTTGTTTGCAAACTTAACACTTCTTGATCCACTTATCCCTTCTTGCACAACAAAAACTGGCATAGTGTTTGGTACTGTGTGACATCTTTTACCCTTTATTTTACTTACAAGAAAATGAGAAGACCAAATTACACATTGCATCTTAAGGTCATTCTATATGATTTAGACTAGTCTTATCATTTGTTATCCTGAGACAATGACATTTTAACTGGCATGATTATAAAGATACTCTTTTTAGAATTTGGTATGATACCAGTATAAATCAATGGAACATTTGAAAGAGCACAAAATAGGTGGAGGAGACATTCTGTGAGAATTTCTCGACTGGGCATGGGATGGAGCTGGGATGTGTGGTGGCCTTTCTGAGGCTTCTAGCATAGCTGTTCCTTGGGAACTGAAGTTAAACTTCTGGAAGAGCATCTGGCTATGAGAAACCCGTTTCTCAGGCCCAGAGCACGTCAGGCCTGTGCAAAGCTTCAGTGTTTCTGTGGTCAAAAGCTTGAACTGGGACCAAGTGCAATAATGAAATGAGGGCTGTTCTGTAGTGCCTTTTGTGGAGTGGACACTGGCTTGATCCTGTGTGTGCTGAACAGTATCACAGGGATATCTAAGATTTTTTATTTTGTAATAGTGGATGGGTATATTTTCTGGGACAGAGGCCAGAGAAAAGAATTTACTAACCTTTGTAATTTTCTTAACCAGTTTGACTTTTTCTTTCTAAATTTAGAGAGGAAACTTCACATTTCAATTTCAAGCATACATTTTTATACTAATTTTCTGGTCAAAAATATTGTACAACTGAAGATGTTGAGAGGAGCAGCAAAAAAGCATTCTTTGTTTACTTCTACCTACAGAGTATGTCTGAGGAGCTTCCTGATGAAGGCTCAAGTATTGTTCAAACTGAACAGGAGGATGCATCGGATCGACCATCTTTAGACACAGAAGACATAGCATTTAAATATCAAGAATCATTGGAAATGCACCCAACAGAGGAAACAACTAAACGTATGGAAGATGGGCAGCTCAAAAGAGACTCTAAAGTACTTAAGCGGGTATCCATAAAGGTGAAAAACTATTAACACTGGAAACATCAGGGAGAGTTAAGGATGTAGGGTTGTACAGAAATGGCCCAAGCAAGGACCAGTGTGTGTGTGTGTGTGTGTGTGTGTGTGTGTGTGTGTGTGTGTGTGTTTCATCCTCACAAATGCAAATCATGGTTTTTGAAAAAGAGAGCTGCATATGTTTCTTGAGAGCTTTCGGTTTTAACCTGAATTGCAGCTACAGGAAGGAAAGAGGTTTTCCCAGGAAAGAAGGAATCTAGAATCATTCAGAAATTGACCAAGAGCCTTGTAGGTACCATCTGAAAGCAATTAGGAACTGTAGTCCTGGGATCGGACTGAGTAAATTTTGAAGCTATTACAACTTTGGTCTATTAGGTTTACCCTAATCACAGGGTCTTTTCCTCTTGTGAAATATTTCCCAGATTCACTTAATGATCATTTTCAGTTTTTTCTTAATATTCTCATAATCATCCTACTGTTTTAATTCTTTAAATTGAGCCAATTCCTTTTGAATTAAATAAATTTTTTAAAAAATATCTACAGATAAGCATAAAAGTGGCATGTGATCCAGAATGGTTTCAGGCCTGAAAACAATATTAAGAGAGGAAGAGAGGTAAGAAGGAGAGAGAGAGAGAGAGAGAGAGAGAGAGAGAGAGAGAGAGAGAGAGAGAGAGAGAGGCAAAGCAATGCAAAGCAAAGCAATTTGCTTGTTAGTTTTGGAGCAAAGAGGGGGAAAAAAGAAAAAAAACCTAGTCATTATGGATGAATAGTGTAATGACAACAGATGACAGAGCTGTCTTGATTTATTTTTGTAAAAAGGTTGAGTCTTTAAATAAACAGAAATGTGTCAGAGAGAAAGAAAACTGATACACTCATACCTTGCTTCTTAAATTGAGAAAGCAAGTGATCTTTAGAGAGAAAAGAAGATTTATTTGAATCTTGAATCCCAAGATTCGTAAAAGACTTTGAGAGTTAGCCAGCAGATGGGAGAGGAGCCAGATGCCTGGAAACTGGCAAGTACAAATCTGTCTTTTATATTTTAAGGGGAAGGGTTTTGACTTTTGGCAGTCTAACTATGTACTGGTCTGGGGCAAAACTCTGGATTAAGCGATTTACCAAAAGAATTGTGCTTGAACATTTATGAAAGGAAGAGCTGATCTCTTGGAGTGGGGCTCCTCAAGGACAAACCATAGAAGACCAACCTTGTTTCTTCTTTTAGAATTACTAGACTGAATATTAGAAAAGCGTTAGACCTGCCATTCAGTATAAATGTAACATAAGGAGGTCACAGACTGTAGACCCACATTTCCACGGAGAAATGTTTTACTACCAATACAGTCTTGGGTAAATTGAGCTACTTATACTTTCATTGTTAAATGAGGATAATGATGGTGCCCACTGAATCCCATTGGTGTGAGAATTACATGTGGTTGCGACAAGAGAGCACATTTGGAACAACATTTGGCACATGAAAACATTCAGTAAGTGTGAGTGATTACTATTCTGAACTTCAGCAATTCATTTGTAAAAGCCTCCTCACAGTTCTGCAGCCAAGATTGTAGTTAGGTAGATTACTCAGGTAGATTGCTGGATGAATTTGAAATTAATTGTGCAAAGGATGGACAATTACTACATGCAAGTCCGTGGTGCAAAGTGGTATAAGGCTATGTCCAATTCAACATATTTATCAATAATTTCAGTGTTAATACAGAAGACCATTATTGGTTGGATTTGTAGGTCATACGCAAAATGTGATGGGTAAGTTACTGTTATTTGACCTCAGCTGAAATTTAATTAGGATAAATATACATATAGTTTTGTCTTTGTGTCTATAAACTAAATGTGTAGGTATGGGATGAGAGTATGTACAACAGCAAATGTGAAAGATTGTAGGGTTTTAAAATATAACTTCATTTTGTTATAGGAAGACAAATGGAATTGTAGTTTTCATTGCTTGACAAATGCTGTAAGAAAGCATCATCTTTCTCGTAGTTAATCTGATTATATCATACCTCAAAAACATATTATGTTCAGGTGGAAGTGTCCAATCCCAGGGAAGAATTCTGACAAGTTAGAGGCTGTTTGCAAGAGACCATTCAAAAAAAAAAAAAAATTCAAAGAACTTCAAAATCACATCAATGCAAGGTAGAGTTGAAGGTGTGAAGGATGTTTGACAAACATAAAAGCAGGCCTGGGGGAGTCCATTACCTAAATATTTGACTGTCAAATAGGACATTCATTTATTACATGGACAGCTAGAGGACAGCTAGATTGGTGCCTATATAGTTCCTAATGTTAAAATTGAGATTAATGGATAAAAATTAATACACTCAATAGCAAAGAAACAAAAACTCTTTAAGAACTGGAAGCATTTTAAAGAGAAAATGAGTGACCTTTAATGTACCTGACTCTGCTCAAGCCAGGTAATAACCACTTGGTGGAGACACTATAGAGGAGATTCAAGTGTTAATTAGAGGGGGAAATTGAATGTTTGGTACTTCTTAACCTTCTATTATTCCGCATTACTTCCTTATGTAAGAAGTTACAATAACTCCCCCCTTCTACGGAATCAACCCCAGATTCATCACTTCATTTATAGGAGCTTCCCTTTATCTGGCCATCTTCTGCTTACTCAGACATATCTCTAGGCTTCTTCCAAGTCAGGTCTCTCTGTTTGCTTCCTTAAATCTAGTCTCAAAATGAAAAGCAGCCTCAGGAGAAAAATCCTTACCTGAATGATTACCTTATCTGCAAAATGTCCTAGAAGCAATATTTTCAAAGCTTCTAAGCGGTAGAAATAGAAAACAATACAACTGTAAGATGTACAAATTGATAAACTTTGCTCAAAATAATAGTAATAATAATAAAAATAATGTATTACAGTTAATTTTAGCCTGTATTTGAAACCACATATGAAGGAAATTAAGGGTAAATTCTATTAAAAATACCAATCAAGAAAATAAGATAGGACTGAGGGAAATAGTGCAGCGGAGACTCCCTGCCTAGTGTGTGTGAAACCCTGGGTTCAACCCCTCACACTAAAAAGGAAAAAGAAAAATAGATTTATGGAGGTTAGAATCTTGTATTTCCTTAGTAATTTTAATGTAATAAATGAAAAGCATTGTAAATAAATTCAGTACTAATATTTTCATTGCCATGAAAATGTGTATGTAAAATGTAGGAATGGATTTGGAGGAGAATAGGATTCATATTCTGTTGCAAAATATATACAGAAATCATAAATTTAAATGTGAGATGGGCCATTAAATATCAGAGAAAGATCTAAGCCTTATGTTACAACTTCCCTTAACAGTAAACTTTGTATTTTTTTTTTTTTAAGGTGCAATCATCAGAATTCTTGCAAATCACAGGAAAAGAAGTTAAGCGAACACGACGAAGTAAATCAGAATTCATACCACTGAGACGAAAAAAGTCTTTAAAATCCCAAGTAGATCAAAAACTACTTAAAAAGTAACTACCAATAAACTAAAAAAAAAACTTCTTGAATTCACAAATTTTATTATTTGAAGAGCAGTCAGTAGTACAGATAGATGAGCATCTATTTTTTTTAAGAAGGAAAACTGAATGTTTTAGAAATATATGAGATCTGAGTTAAATCTTCTTAGAGGAAAAGTTGATAACAGATTTTACAGTCAGGATATGTATACCATGCTTCATTCTTCCTTCTATTCATGTTTTTGATCAGTTTAACAAATATAACAATAGCTGGAATAAAAACATCTGTTTGTGAGGCTAAATAGAATGGTTAGTGTGTTAAATTTATATTTTTTGATCGCTGAAATGCCTGATTTCGATTAACTGCTTATTGTATCAGTTAATTTTGTTATGATAATCCAACACAAAATGTCCATAGACCAATTGGCAGTTTGGATGACTTGTTTTCCATTTCATGTTTCATCCTCCACCCGTATTTTTAATGGAGTTTCTTGTCACATTGTAATATAATTGCAATTTTGACAATAGCATGTAAATACAATTTAGATTATCACTTACCTTTTACCATTCACCGTGTTCAAACTCTAGTTTTCTCCTTACTTCCCTAGTAAATTTTTATGAGTTGGTATATTCTAGATTAGTCTTCATTTTACTCTTTATGGGGTTTAAAGAACCTTTAATTATTAGCTTTTGTTGTTGCCTAGAGCAGTGAAAATTGTGTTGGACATGGAAGTGAACCTTTTTTTTATGGCCAGCCTAAACTCTGTAAATGGATATTACTCACAATTTAGTACCTGAGAACAGACTCATGGGAAAAGAATTCCAAAGTTTATGAAACAGTCAAATTGGCATTTAAGTGACCCTGTACATGCCATTGCTTATCTACATTGCTTTAAGCTCATTAAGTTAGCAAGATTATGTATTAAAACAAATAGTGACAGCAGACAACAAGTATTTTACCTTCAATAAATAGTTACTGTCAGATTATCAATGAAGCAGAAACTTTTGGTTTTTTCCCCCTAAAAAACCTTGCATTTAGTGCATTAAGCAAAGTACTGTGGCCACACACAGAGTCAGTCTTTTCTTTTTTATGTCTTAGTGTTTCAAAGAATGACAAATAGTCCTGCTTAAGGAGAGGGTGCTATAAAAACATAGAGCTTTTCTTGAGCATGCCAAAAATATTTGTAGATCTTCTTGATACATATAGTGCTGTTTTAATTCATGAAAGCTGAAAATAGAAATTTCCATTAGAGAGAAACAAGAGTGAGATGCAGAAAAAATTTCTATTATTTTAAAAGAGAACGGGAGAAGGGTTTCTGAAAGTCTTCACTCTGGCCTTTTCTTTGTTTTTTAATCTAATCCTTTTCATAAGTGACTGACCCTCAAATTAAATTGTGTTCTTGGGAATTCAGTCCTCTGTTGCAGTGTATTGTAATTTAGCTCAATGACCAAGGGGAGTTTCACTTGCTAATCTGTGTTGTTAAACCATAATGGAGTGTAGGAATTTAAGTTGGGTGTGGTACTTTCTAAAGAAAATGTAAAAATCGGTAGCGTAATCTCGGAGCACATTCCACTAGCCAGGACCTGTCCGAGGCAGAAACGTGGTACAAGTGTGCTTGAATCGGAGCTTACCTTTTGTCCTCTCTCCCTCTTTTGAAAGCTTTTTCATAGGAACCCAGAGTGCCTGAAGCCCTGGCTTCCTGGACAACCAACTTTATTTGACTAGTTAGTTACATCTTTTTTACTCAGGTGTTTCCAAATGCTTTTGATTTATCCCTTCTCTCGTCCCCCACACAGGAACATTTACAAAATTCCTGTTATGTTCTTACTAGATTCTGTGATGTCTGGAAATGTCACAAACCATATTTGTTAGTGACTGACTTAATGCACATGCACTAAGGCACATGACTAATGTGCCTAGAGATAGGTTAGGTATTGTGTGGTGAAAATTAATGACCATGATAAAAATAAACCAGCGTTTTTTGAGAGACTATCACAGACTAGGAATGATATATTTGTAATTTTAAAGTAAATTCTTACAAGGGTTAGAGCTAAGAGTTTATTATAATTTTTTTGAAGTCTTTCAGTGAAGCTGAAGTTGGTATTCAGTTTGTAGGTACTAGAACTGATTCTGATTCAGTCTTAGCCAACTCCAAAGTCTGTACTCTTCATACTGTGCTTATGGCTGAGGTACCCCAGACCTGTGGAGGAATTGGTAGAGAGCCCAACACTGACATACTAGATACGTGGTCAAAATGAGGGTCATAAGAGTAGGGCAGTATATAAAAGGAGACATATGTAAAATGGGGTAACAAAAAGATTTAAAAATGAAAAAAAAAAAAAAAGAAAAAAACCTGTGTAGAAAATTCTGTCTTCAAGATATTGTTAACAGATATTCAAGCATGGACAAGAAGGAAGACAGAATTCTGTCCATGAGTTGAAGAACTGCCAAATGTAACCCTGTGGTTTGTCTTGGAAACTGGTAATAGTGGACAGTGGCTGACGTCAGCCATCTGAGAGACTTTTGTTGCTTAAATCAAAACTTGTTTATGGTCAAATGAAAATTTTGAGGCCAGGCATCCTGATTCTAGAGCTGCACTTAACCACTGAGCTACAATCAGAGTCAAACACTAAGAGCTTTGAAAGTTAGAAGTCAGACAGATACACATAACCAGCAAATTCTTCTGTTGAGTAAAACAGTCCTAAAAAGCAAAGCGGAAAAAAAAAAAAAACCCATTTAGTGGGATTTTTCAGAAATGACACAGAGGGTGTGGTGCCGAATCATCTAGCAAACAATTGCCAGGGCAGTCTGAGGTGTGGAGTACCCCATATGGGTGTGCTGGCAGTGAGGATGACCACTGAGCAACCCTGTTCAGAGCGGAGATCTGTTTTGCACTGGATATGCAATGCAGGGTGAGGGTGGAGGACAGAGGAGTCAAAGGAATTTTGATTTTGAAGATGAATCTAGGGAGGTAGTGATGCTGAGTTGAGATTTGGGAACACCCAGAAGAGAGGGGATAACTGAAATATTCATAGGTGATTTCTCCAGTATTGAAAGAGAAGTTCAAATCTTTGAAGCTATACCCACTTTGGAAAGCTAATGAAGGAAAGGCCAGTGAGTAAGTTGAATTTATAATGAATTAGAGAGGAAGATGGAAATCGGAGATGGGTCAGGATGTAGAAAACTCACGGAGAGGGAACATTTCAGAGAAAAATCACGGACACTGTCAGTGGTGGCTTGCAGGTCATTAGATAACATGATCTGTGGATCCAAAGGTGATGAAGAAAGGTTATTTAGTTAGTGGAAATGTACAGCTTTAGAAGGAAAGTAGGGATGGGGTAGTACTGGATAAAGGGTTGCTCTACTTGGGAGTCGTTAATAGGCTTAATATGAAAGAAAGTTGACATCTAGTTACCAGCATTGTGTATGGATTCCAGTGGCCACTCACTTATTTTGTGACATACCCAAAATAAACCTATTACAAAACAAGGATAATATACCTCCATTCGTTGTGAGTGCTAGAAGGAGTATGTGGAAGTGTATAGCACAGAGCCTGGCACATTGCAATGCTTAATCAGTATTTGCTGATTAGATGGCAAATGGCTTGGCGCATTAAGAAAGCAGATCGTCATGCCTCTTTCCTACTTTGGGAAGCCAGGAGAGGGAAGAAGTGGAAAAGCGGAATGGAGATTTGCCACACTGACTTAGACACAGGGCTCCTCCATGCTAATAAATGTAATGTATTGTGTATAATGTTTTACTTCTTTAAAGGGCATCTGCACTTTAGCAGAGTAGAAAGAGGAATGTATGTTGGCTGGATATGGTGTTGTTGGGCAGAGTTGCAGAATTCAGGTGAGGAGAGGTTAGGAGTGAGATGATGGTAAGTTTGCTTTTGGACACCTTTTGATCTTGAAGTATCTGTAAGACTCAGGTTGAGACTTTCCGCAAGCAGTTGAATATGAGTTTGAAGCTCTGGACAATGGCCTAAAACTGTAGTATTGAACTTGTTGTAAACTATTGTTATAGTTTTGTATCTGATCGTCTATACTTAGGTATCAATTTTAGAATCTGAGCTAAACTCTCATATAAATGTATTTCATATCTAAAGACCACATAGTGTAGAAGCACTCACATCCTTTTCCTTGTTGCAGAATCCCACAGGCCCATTCCCCTCCTCACCTTCACCATTTGTGCACCACCACTCCAGCCCAGCAGTTGCCAGTTGACTTGCATCTGGCCTCTCGCATGTGCCATACTGCTGACAAGAAAGGCCACAGCACCCTGCTTGGAGTCTTTGGACCATCTTTCCTAGATGTTCACTTTGTAGAAGCACAAAGAGATAGGTAAGAATTCTTTGGTAACTTTGTTTTAAACTAGATTGCAACTGTCAACAAAATTCAGTCTTTGAGGTTCTGATTTTAAAGATATGATTCCATTCTGGGACACTAAGGAGCCATATTTGTTCTTTTCCATGGCTTTCCTAGTATGTGCCCAGACTATGTTGGTATCTCCATTTTGGACAGCATTGACAAGAATGAATCATGCCTGTCTCAGTCTGCTTTGTGTGGCTTTGACAGAATACTTCAGACAGGGTAATTTATGAAGTAAAGGAGTACGTGCGTGTGTGTGTGTGTATAAAGGAAGGAATGAGAGTAAATTCATTGTAATCATCCTTTAAAAAAATTAGGAACCTCTCTTGGGATAAGTAACCCACTCCTAGAGTAGTGGCATTAAACCTTTCATAAGGGCAGAGCCTTTGTCATATAATCAGCTGTTCAAAGTTTCATCTCTTAACACTCTTTCATTGGGAATTAAATTCCCAGCACATGATCTTTGGAGGTTGTGTTCAGACCATGGCAATAACATATTTTAAGACACCTTTAATGTAGTTGTCTAGTTCCCCAAAATGCTACATAATTATCTCATTTTCACTTCATAACAACTATGGGAATATTGAAGTGGAAATCAGTGGAAAAAATCTACAGATTTGGAACTCAAACCATCTTTTGAATTAGATTTCAGTATCACTGGACGAACTTGGGCCAGGACCATATGCAAAGGTCATTGAGTTCATTCCATTTTTCCCTGTGTCTCTGTTCCCTTTGGAGTTTGCAGTATGTTGTGAAGAATACAAAATGTGCAACGGTGTCAAAAGAGAAGGGAAAAGAGAAGGAAGCTACAATTTTTTGAAAAGCAATATTCTGAGCACGATATTGTGTGCTTTCTGTTTAACTCTGCAGCTGTAAGGAAGAAGACAGAATTTCCATTTTATTCAAGAAGAAATTTTGGCTCCATGATAGCCACAAAAACTTGCCTAAGTTCTTACGTCTGGATGGTGATTAAAATCCAAGTTTCTCTGACTTTTTCTTCACCATTTTTACATTTTTTTCTGTGTGATTTTCTCCCACCAATCATCCCTCCTGATTACATTTTAGTATTCTTGATATGTCCTACATAAAAGGGATAAAGTTTAATATCCCTCTTTTCCACTCATCAAGCCCAGTAGGGGAGACTATCACTTGCTCATCAAAAATATGAGTCTCCTGCCTTGAAGAATTCTATAGCTGATACAAATCCTAAAAAATCATCTACTGCATTTTTCAGGCATATTAAAAATATTAAATATTAGGTTAACTAGAACCTTTTTCAGCACTAAATTTTTATTTCTCTAAACATCTGAGAATAACATTTTGGTGTGTGTGCTAGTGAAACATCTGAGAATAATATTATTTATTTATTTGTTATCTTTTTAAGAAAGAGTTTTGCTGTGCAGTTCAGACTGGCCTTGAACTTACTTTGTAGTCTAGGCTGGCCTCAAACTTGCAGTGAGCCTCCTGCCTCAGCCTCCCGAGTGCTGGATTACAGGTGTGTGCCACCATGCCCGGCTGAGAATAATCACACTATCACAAAATAATTAGTGACTGACCTATATTTTTCATGGTCTATTCTAAACACATTTACTAAACAGTAAAATTTTTTCATGACTTCAGTAGTAAGTGGAACTCTCTTGCACTTTTTTCATGGTTTGAAATGACCAGTGTTTCTTGTGTGCGGTAGTCACAAGTTTCAACTTGAATCTCTAAAATGTCATTATTGTATTTATTTATTTAGCCAAAAATGCATCTTTTGGATTCACGAATCAATCATAATTTTATATATATAAAGTCTTAACTCGTAAACTCAATGTTCGCTAATTTAAAAAATGTACTTGAAGAGTTTTGGAAATTTCAAAAATGTTTTGGTATCCTGGATAAAAAGGTCAGCACAGCATTCATTGCAATGTCCTTTGAAAGGCTGAAGGTTGGAGAAAGCAAAGATACAAACATTATCTAGCAGTCATGAAAGTGTACAGTTTTTAAAATTTTAAATTTATTTTATTATTCTTTTGAAACAAATGACCAAAACTCTCCAGTTTTGAGTTGTGTCTGTGAGCACCGTGCCACCAAGAATCCTTCTGAGGACTTCACAGCTTCTGCTGGTCATACAAACTGTTAAAATGCTGGCTTCTTTCCAGTTCTAAAAATCCTTTTTTCTTCACGTAGACCTCACTTTATTTTTCCCAGAGAATCAATAAATGCTCTATTTGATAATGATAATTCTTGCCAATTTTCTCCTAAGTACTAAATAACAAGTTAATTTAAGCACTGAATATTTAATTCTCTAACATCCATCTCTCGAGGATTACCTTGCTAAACATAGCTTAACCTTTTCAAAATATATCTGTCTGCTGAGACTATGAGTTTAGACAAATGTATAATTTGCTTCTGCATTAGTAACTATTCCAAAGAAAGGTAATTATAAACAAAAAATGAATACCCTTTCCACTTAGTGGCCTTTTAACATTTTGTGTGCAGTGTACAGTTAACTTGAAAACATAATAATACTTTGGTTGTATAATTATAATGCGTTTACATTTCTGCATATAGTAATTATTATTTATAGCCAACACCAAGGTTACTTAGCGGAATGATAAGGGAACGTACTTAAGTTTATTTAAAGTAGCAAAGTGTTCTTCAAAATTATATTTATTCTGTTAAATACCAATTTTGATGAGAACTATGTATTTCATATTGAAATATTTTGTGTTGTATAGAGATGTTTATACACATTAGAATTCTTGTTATACAATTTTAGATTTTAGGCTTTAAAGTTGATGATATCATTAAAGATCATTTTACAATCATTTGAACATTTATATAATGTTAGTTTGGTGATCAACCTTCCAGACATTAGTTGTAAATGTATCTATTTAGGACACGCATGACATTCTGTAGCTTTACTTTTTCACTCGAGGTTATGTGTGAACATTTAAATTATTTCATGATATCCACTAACCAAGCTGCAGTGACACTTTGCAACAATCTATTATATGTTGTGTTTTCTTTGTACCTTCAAATTAACTATTAATTGTTTTGAATTTTTTGTCTAATGAGAAATATCTGTTATTTGTTTCTGATAAATTGAGAAAGTTTTAAATATTTTTGTCTATTTTTCTCATTTTAAGAATCACTAGCTTATATTCTGTGGAATATTTTTTATCTCTTTCCTACAGTTTCATAAGAGATCTTCTTAGACTAAAGATTTTAATTATTTTACAGGTGTACTGTAGATATGTTTCACTTTGTTGGCTTTTCAGTTTTGTTTATGTTTTATATTTTACAAAAGTTTTAATTTTTATGTAGTAAAAGTAGCAACTGCTTATCTTACAAATTTTCATCTTGGCTACTCTTAGGCTTTTATTTTATTTATTTATTTTTTGTTACCAGGAATCTAATTCAGGACCTCATACTTACCCGGCAGATGCTGTGCTGCTGAGCTATATCCCCCGTCCATATTAGGCCATTTCTAAACTTAAATTTAAATGTATTGCCATTTTTTCTTCTAGTGATTTTCTGATTTCCTTTGAAAACTAATTGATCCATTTGTAGTTTCTTGTACAAATAAGAATAAGTATTATTTCTTGAGGTGTAAATTTTAAAAATCACAATATTTATTGCCATTTTAATAATAATATGGTGTTACTTTTCTTCCTTTTAATTCTACAGTTTCTTTAGAAAAATCTAAGTCTTTTAGTTTTATCAGAACTTTCATTATTTCTCTCATGAAAACATTTAAAAAGTTTTATTTAGACTGTAAGTAAGAACTTCTGTAAAATTCTTTGGTTTCCCTTAAGTTTTTATCAAAGAGACATCCTTCATATATGTTATTTCTTACACTTTGCAGACTGTCTTCACAGGCTACTGGATTTTTCTGTGTACTCATCTTTGAATGAAGCTAGGTCATTCTCGGTTACCCAAAGTTGATATAGGATAGATTTCCTTCCTATGCTTTGTCTGTTCGTTTTGGAGTCATTAGAATACTGCTTTTAAATGTAAAGTAGGAGAACTGATGATACAAGTTTATATAAGCAGTTCAATCATTTGAAATCACGGAGGGTGTTTCAGGTAGAAGAGGCAGGATATGAAAAGTTTGGCTCAACAGTTTTTGTTAAAACTATTGTCGTAAGGATGATCTTTTCTTCCTGGATTTTTTTAATATGGTAAAGATTATTATTGGCTTTTCTCTGCACACACATAGCTATTCCATATATAGTGTGTGCTTTACAGCAATGACTTTATAGATATCATTTTGACAACCTACATTTGTTCAAATAATACATATTTTAAAGTATAAAGAAAAGTTCATTAGTAATAATTTTGACTGTCTCTACTACTTAAAAATTACAAATCAATAGTATGTATCTATTGAGAGATTTTATGCAAATGCACCAAATGATGGTATGTGGTAGGAAAACACAAAATTATATAACAGAAAATGCACAGAGGCTCACTACATTTATTTCATGTTGTTTTAACAGCACCTCTTTTTAGCAGGTAAATAATCCCTTTTCTCAAATGAAGAAAATAAAACATAGCAATTAAAAGATTAGTCCATAATTATATAACTGGTGAAATCTAGAATTTTTCTCAGCTTGTTCTGATTCTAAATGTGGTTTCTATTATACCTCTTTGCTTTATACATTTGTGAAACATCCTCTCACTTTTTCTCCTCATGCTTTGTCCTGAATATTCATCCTCATCCTGTTTTTAATACTGACCTAAGAACCTAAGGAGCTTTAGTTGCATAAAGGGAGACGTTATTTTCACTCACTCTTGGTAGTTTGTATCTGCTCCCTTATGGCCCAGTTTTGGAAACAGACCTTCTGCCTAAATTGTGGCAGGGATTCTCTCCTCCTGTAGTTTATTCCCTCACTAAACACTGAAAATCCTGTTTCTGAGTCTAGGCTAGAGTTAGGAGGCTCTCCTGATGTTAATTATCCAACTATGGAAGGCTTTGGGCTTTC